CAGTTAGGTACCATTTTTTGAAAGCAAATATTATTTTTTTTAAAAACTGATATAACTTAAAGGGTGTGCCCTTTAAAGGCGCACAAAATGTTGGGCTCGTTTTTTTTAATTTCGATTTCATTTTCGTGCAAATTCGATTAAGAGATGAAAACAGGTGTAAAATGGACCTATTTACAACCAATTCAGGCTTTTCAGATTTTAAAATATTTATACGTAACTTTTATAAACTTGTAGCTATAATCCATACGAAGAAAATGTATGTTAAAATTAGTTTGTAATATAAGCAGTTACCTAGAAATAGGCAATTTTGCATACGTCACTGTTTTCGTTATTTTGCCTGTAAAATAGTCAATTATTACTGGATTTTCACAAAAGTGACACCATTTGATTCAAAAAGCAAGTATGCATCGTATCAAATTGATTACAATTTAAAATTGACACCGGAAGTGACACCATTTTGTCAAAAAATGCATTTTTAACTTTTAAAATCAATATTTTTTTCAACCAAGAATTATTTAATATGTATTAATAATATTAACTTTTGGTTTACATTCACATAATAAAATTCATACAGTCATATAGATTTCACAAAATTGTTTCTAACTTGTTCAGTTGCGGAGAAATAGGTGATTTTCAACAGATCACTTTTCAAGGTTTTTGGTCCATAAAAGTGTCAATTATTATTCGATTTTCAAAAATTTTTACTGTGTGATACCTAATGCCATTTACAATTTTATACAAGTAATTTAAGATTTTCATTATCACCGGAAGTAACGTCATTTAGGCAAAAACTGTATTTTTAGCCTTCAAAACGGATATTTTATTCAAATGAGTCTGATTTGTAATGTTTTTAAAATTATGATATTTGATTCCAATCAACAAATAGATTGAACCCATACGATCATACAGATACCAGAAAATAGACGGTTTTCTACAAGTCACTTTTCAAGGTTTTTGGTCTATAAAAGTGGCAATTATTATTCGATTTACATAAAATTTTTACCATGTGATGCCTTATGCCATTTCTGATATCATAAAAATTATTGAACATTTTCATTATCACCGGAAGTGCTGTACACTTACATGTAACATGTATAAAATGAATTGATATTGCTGGATTTGGTTGATTCGGCGTCCATTTTGTTTGATGTGTGCAATGCTTATGTGGAAACCTGTTTAATGGTTTCATTGGTACCGGAAGTGACACATGTTTAGGGTAACGTGGTATTTGCTAAATATCATTAAATATCTTCTGATTTTCCTTTCTTTTAAAAACTGTCCAATGGATCTTTCTGAAACTTCTGGTACAGGAAGTTAAGTTCCCATACAACGTGTTAAATCTATCCTGACAATGATCCGTAAACTGGAAGTAGTCTAAAAAATATTCGATATTAAAAAAAAAACCCGTAAAAATAGGTGCTCTTGCAAAAATTGTGATTTCACCGTTGGGTGTGACCGGATCAAAACATCTAAAGTATCGTTTGGTAGCTCGATGAATGGGCTATTGTATGACAGACTTCCTGTCTGATTCCTGAAAGCCGGTTCAGTGCTGCTTGCAGGTCTAGTTATTATTATTATTTACCGCGGACCCTTATTTCTAAGTCCCTGTAAGAGATACCGGTCTGGGATCTAATTTTCTATCGGGAAACCGTGTGGTGGCTACTCCATAAACTAGTTTTGAAACTTCTGCGCAGACCGGAAGTGGCCGAATTCAGTATGGTGGCAAAAGTTAAAAAAAAAAACAGCTGTTGTTTTGTCAATTCTTTTCCTATTTTCAAACAAATAACATTTTCGGAAACCTTGAGTCTTTTCTGGGATGATAGCAGTTGAAAATTTCTAAATTTCGAAACTTTGCCGTTGACTTCTAGCCACCGAAAAATGAAAAAATGGTGTTTAAGAGACAATTTTGTTATTTTTCAAAATTTTCAAATTTGACCTACATTTTTGGATACCTGATGTCCATCCGATTCCAGCCATGTAAGTTTCATTCAGAGTTATCGCCCTTTATTTATTGAATTTTTTCGAAATTTCTAACCATTTGATAACCCTTATATTTTTTTTGAAAGGATCAATCGATGTTTCTGAAAGTCCTCGAACATAAAGCTATATGTCATACCATTGGATAAAGCAATTTCAACAACAATCCGTGTACCGGAAGTAGTCGAAATAATGTCTGATATTCGAAAAAAACGCAAAAAAAGGGCGTTTCGGGGAAAAACTTGATTTCTCCGTCCAATATCAATGGATTAAATGAATTAAGCTTTCATTGAGTGGCCCGAGGAATGGACTGTCGTATGATGCCCAATTTATACGGATATTATGACCAAGCAGCAAAATATGACAAGCTGAAAAACAAGTATTTTCTGATTTGGAGCGTTTTTGGACGCCTTTATCTCAAAAACTTAACCTACAATTTTTTTTTAACTTTCTCTATCGACAGTCCATTTGATAGTCTTGTGCATGAAACCATCCAATAAGACTTTGAAATGTCTGGAATAGGATAAAAAAGGGACTGAAAATCGAAAAAAGTCGAAAATTTGTAAAATTTTGGAAAATGCTATATTATTTTATTATTTAATCAGATTTTTACGAAAAGGTTACACATTCAGATAGCTGACCTAATTACGATCCTAACGATGTATAATATGTATTGAGGTATTGAAATTTAATTTTCGATATTTTGACATTTTTGAATTTTTGGCACTTTTGAACATAGGATTTCTCAGGGCCATTTTATCTGATCAGATAATGTAATATATCATTACAGAGCACTGTGGCCATCTAATTGCCCAAATTGATTATTAAAAATATCCCGACAATAATCTCCATACCGGACGTATTCAAAAAATGAAGAAAAAGGTTAAAAAAAATTAGAACTCTTGCGAAAAACTTGATTTCTGCATCAGATCTTAGCAAACCAAAAGAACTAAAGTGTCGCTGGATAGCCCCATTAATGGACTATCATATGACATCTGAATGATACGATTTAGATGGCTAGAAAATAAATTATGGTGCGCCGAAAATCTAGTATTTTCCGTTTTGGAGCATTTTGAGAGGCCTTTTTCTCAAACACAACAGCTACGTTTTTTCCTAAACTTTTTTTTCTCGAATTAAAATTGTGACCTCCATAGGGTCCACAACCTTGATATACCATATTTTTACGCTATTTGAGAACGAAGGGCGACCATTTTGTCTGTCAGTTTTGGGCCGATTTTCACGAAATTCGAACTCAGCCGTCCTTAGGGTGTAACGGTGATATAATAATACGGTTTTTTAAATCGGATAAAAATTATGACCTCTATAGGTTCCACAAGCTAAAAAGGCGATTTTTTGTACAAACAGGGGCCATAATTCAGGAAGTTACGGTCTGATATGCGCAAATATCGAAAGGAACCGAGATCTTTGGGTAATAAACTTACATTTCAAGTTTCAACAAAATCGGATAAAAATTGTCACCTCTATAGGGTCCACAACCTTGATATACCATATTTTTACGCTATTTGAGAACGAACGGCGGCCATTTTGTCTGTCAATTTTGGGCCGATTTTCACGAAATTCGAACTCAACCTTCCTTAGGGTGAAACGGTGATATAATAATACGGTTTAAATCGAATAAAAATTTTGACCTCTATAGGGTCCACAAGCTAAAAACGCGATTTTTCGTACAATCAGGGGCCATAATTCAGGAAGTTACAGTCCGATATGCACGAATATTGAAAGGAACCAAGATCTTTAGGTTATAAACTTACATTTCAAGTTTCAAATAAATCGGATAAAAATTGTGACCTCTATAGGGTCCACAAGCTAAAAACGTGATTTTTCGTAAAATCAGGGGCCATAATCCATGAAGTTTCGATCCGATACATGCCAATATCGAAAGCAGCCGAGATCTTTTGGGGATAAACCTATATTTCAAATTTCGTCAAAATCGGATAAGAATTGTGACCTGTAGAGAGTCCACAAACAATTGTGGACGAACGGACGGACAGGGGCGACGGCATAATACGTCCACATGAAAATGTGGGCGTATAAAAAAAACGTAAAAAGTAAAAAAATCGTATCTTGCGAAAAAAGTGATTAGTACGCCAGATTTCACTGAATCAAAACAACTAAAGTGTCATTGGATAGTTCGAACAATGGACGATCTTGTGACATCTAAATGGTAAAAATTCGCGGGGTAGGCAATATATAATGGAACGCTGAAAATCTATTATTTTCCTTTTTGGAGCCTATTCAGAAGCTTTTATTTCGAAAACTTCTCTTATTTCCTTTCTTAAACTTCTGTTACTTAGAGTTCTAACGGTGGTCTAGGGTGTGAATCCAAATTTAAAAGCCTCAATATAGTGTAAATGGTCTAAAAGGGCCACAATCTTTGAAAAAAGTCGAAAAATCGTTATATCTGTAAATCTGCTTCTAATGGTATAAGGGAGGTAAAACTGTCCAATGGATCTTTCTGAAACTTCTGGTACAGGAAATTGAGTTCCCATACCACTTGTTAAATCTATCCCGATAATGAACCGTAAACAGGAAGTAGTCAAAAAAATATTTGATAATTAAAAAAAAAAAAGACAGTAAAAAAATCGGTGTTTTGCAACAATCGGGATTTCACCGTCAGGTGTGACCGGATCAAAGCATCTAAAGTATCGTTTGGTAGCTCGATAAATGGGCTATTGTATGACACACTTCCTGTCTGATTCCTGAAAGCCGGTTCAGTGCTGCTTGCAGGTCTAGTTATTATTATTATTACTTATTTATCATGAATATAATGATATAAGCAGGAATTTATCTGTTATAATCTTTAAAAAAAAAAAGGCTGAAGATAAAATACAAGTAATAATAATTAAAACTGTTATAAAACAATAAAAAGAAAAAAAAAATAACTAAGAAAGCAGATATTATCCAAACTTCCACATAGAAAGTAGGAAGTAAATGTTAGACTAACAAGCCAAGCCACCACCATTATTTGATAATAAGCCAGTAAATAAATAATGTGTTAGTACCTTACACTCTATACTTAGTTATAGTAAGCATTAGAGAAAAGCACTTGGATTAGCCCTGGGGTCTTTCTGGTTTCTATACCGAACAGTAATCCATACACCTATAATCTGAAATTATGGCACATCAATTCAACAAAGTGGCATAGAAAACAAGATGACTAGTCGTCAACATCCCGCGCCCTTGCACTTGTTTGGAAGAAATAAGGAAAAATAACTTATTTATGCTATTGGTAATCAATATAAAAATGTATCAGATTTCGCAAACAGTGTCACTGATCCTAATATTGTGGCCCTGTTTAGTAGATATTGCTCTCTATTTCTGAAAACAAATGACTGATTGATATTTACTAGAAGATTTGAGATAATTTATGACATTAAGCTCTGGTTTTAAAAATTAGACATGACTACATAGAAAATAGAGATATTTTGCAAGTGGAGGGAACTGGAGCTTTAGACAAATCTCATATTCCGACACATGGAATATCAATTCACAGAATTCCATACTCTGATCACAGTAGCTCGGCAAGGCAGGGTCGCTACTCTCTGTAAGGTTTGCACAACAACCTTTGCCTACCTCAATTAGCTGCTGTATGTTAACCAATAAACTTATACATCAGAAAATAAAATACTATAATAGGTTAATGTTTGTACAAAGTTTCAAAAATTATTTTAAAGGTATCTTTAACAGTCAAATGAGTTTCCATGGAAACACATAAAATGATCAAATCTGAGAAATTCAAAATAAGTGCCATGAAGATATCTTGAACAATTTATGAGATATGCTCCAGAAACAAAATTGTACACCAAAAACTAAGTAAAATTTGTTTCCATGGAAACACACAAAATATCAATCCCAGAAATTCCTAAATAGCAAAAGGCACAACTACTGTAACGGGTTGATGTGTGTGCAAAGTTTCAGAAAGATATCTTGAGCGGTTTATGAGATATGCTGCGGAAACAAAATTGTACACAAAAAACTAAGTCAAATTTGTTTCCATGGAAACACAAAAAATATAAATCCCAGAAATTCCTAAATAGCAAAAGGCACAACTAATGTAATAGGTTGATGTGTGTGCAAGGTTTCAGAAAGATATCTTGAACTGTTTATGAGATATGTTTCGGAAACAAAATTGTACACCAAAAACTAAGTCATTTTTGTTTCCATGGAAACACACAAAATATCAATCCCAGAAATTCCTAAATAGCAAAAGGCCCAACTACTGTAACGGGTTGATGTGTGTGCAAAGTTTCAGAAAGATATCTTGAACGGTTTATAAGATATGCTCCGGAAACAAAATTGTACACCAAAAACTAAGTCAAATTTGTTTCCATGGAAACACAAAAAATATAAATCCCAGAAATTCCTAAATAGCAAAAGGCACAACTACTGTAATAGGTTGATGTGTGTGCAAAGTTTCGGAAAGATATCTTGAATGGTTTATGAGATATGTTTCGGAAACAAAATTGTACACCAAAAACTAAGTCATTTTTGTTTCCATAGAAACACACAAAATATCAATCCCAGAAATTCCTAAATGGCAAAAGGCACAACTACTGTAATAGGTTGATGTGTGTGCAAAGTTTCAGAAAGATATCTTGACTGGTTTATGAGATATGCTCTGGAAACAAAATTATACACCAAAAACTAAGTCAAATTTGTTTCCATGGAAACACAAAAAATATAAATCCCAGAAATTCCTAAATAGAAAAAGGCACAACTACTGTAATAGGTTGATGTTATGTGCAAAGTTTCAGAAAGATATCTTGAACGGTTTATGAGATATGCTTCGGAAACAAAATTGTACACCAAAAACTAAGTCATTTTTGTTTCCATGGAAACACAAAAAAATATAAATCCCAGAAATTCCTAAATAGCAAAAGGCACAACTACTGTAATAGGTTGATATGTGTGCAAAGTTTCAGAAAGATATCTTGAACGGTTTATGAGATATGCTCCGGAAACGAAATCGGATGGACCCCATTTCAATATCCCTCCCTAACTTCGTTCGGCGCGGGATAATAAGGGAATTTATACTGTTTTCAGACTAAACAAAATATACTATTTCATCACCTAAAGATATGGACTAATACGTTTTTGTATTGATGTTAATAAAACAAATTCTAAAACGATTGTCTTTCAAAGAATAAATTTGGCCTTTATTCAGAAACCAAATTACTGAAACTGTAGTTTGTTGGTTGGGATTAAATGCTGAAAATGACCCCTGACATTAACTCTTTCGGAAAAAACATTATCATGTCACTACATTGCATAATTGAATCATCTATACTATTCAAAAAAAGTAGGGGATATTTGATTTTTAAGTGTTATTAAAGTCACCTAATGAAACTGACGAATAAACAAATGACAAAATGAAATGAAGTTCACATTCATCGATTTATTCCAAATGATCGTTAGACTAAGTAAGGCACAGACTGACCATTATAAGGGTAAAATGATACCCGGGGTCAAACAGCAAAGTTACCACAGCATCACAACCAAGTCAGTAACGGGTAAATCCTCCTCTGTTTGCCAAACAAGCATTGATCCGACGTGGCATACTCCTAATGAGACGTCTAAGGTCATTTTGGTCCAGATTGTCCCATTCCTGTTGCAACGTAGCAGCAAGTTCTTGGACATTGGCAGGACGTTGTTGACGTTGACGTAACCTCTGTCCAAGCATGTCCCAGACATGCTCGATGGGGGAGAGGTCGGGACTCAGTGCTGGCCAAGGTAATGTGGTGATGTTCTGTTGTTGGAGGTAACCTGTAACGATCCTGGCCCTGTGACATCTTGCGTTGTCATCCTGGAAGATGAAACGGCAGCCATGACGTCGTGCGAACGGCACAACATGGACTGCCAAGATGTTGTCCCGGTAGTACTGGCCTGTAACACGCCCTGCAACAACATGTAAAACCGTTCTTCCAGCAACAGTGATGCCTCCCCACACCATAACAGAACCACCCCCAAATCGATCATGTCTGATGACGTTAACGTCTTGGAAGCGCTCGTTTCGACGACGCCACACCCTCCTATGCCTGTCCAAAAAATCAACAGTGAACCTTGACTCATCTGAAAACATCACATTGCTCCAGCGTCGATTATCCCAGTGTTGACGATCCCTACACCAACGACGTCTTGCCTGAATGTGATGATCTCTCAAACAAGGGATCACGCGAGGACGTCGGGCGCGAAGGTGACCCCTATGCAGTCGATTCCGAATCGTCTGGCCACTCCCTCTCACACCAGTGTCTGTTTGAAGACGAGCGCTGATCTGATTTGCTGTGATGACACGATTTCTCAAGGCCAAGGTACGGATAAATCGATCCTGGGCTTGAGTTGTCGCCCTTGGTCGACCTGAGCGTGGTCTGTCCTGTACAGATTGTGTATCACGGTATCTGGACCATAGCCTGCTTATGACAGACTGAGAAACATTCATCGTCCGCGCCACAACCGCCTGTGTTGTGCCGATCTGTAGCATGCCAAGGGCACGTAACCTTTCATTTTGGGTAAGCCGACGCATATCAAAATTTGTTTTCTGGTCACTAAAACAATTAAACTGATGTTTCCACCCTGGAATTCAATGCCACAATGACTGTAACATTCAAAGTCAGAGTCGTGCAAATCTTGGGTTGGACCCCCATGATGATCCCAAGCATCACCTGCATTCCATGCGGTAGCTATTGGTGCGTGTGGGCGTCACATGTAACTGGAAATGTTTCTTCTGTTAGGTTCTATAGTGACTTTTTTCGTAGTCATTTGCATATTTTAGTATTATGCCCCCAAAATCAAATATCCCCTACTTTTTTTGAATAGTATATTAAAATGATTAAACTGAAATTATTAATTCTTTTGCCATAGAAATCTTTTAGCACATACATTTTTCATGAAAATCTAAAGGGAAATATATAGGTAGGCCTATAATATAATCTTACCTCTGTAAAACTAAAGAATAACCCTATACCGCCAGTTACAGAGAACGCTGCATATATTTTATCTTGTAATTTATGATAACATGCTTGACATTCCAATGGACATGTCAGATTTGTAGTATTTTCTGGCTGACCAGAACAACAGGAGCGACTTGGATTCAGTTTACAGCAAGACAACTAAAATAATAAAGTAGAAATTTGATCAAAGACTAAATTTGGTTCTGTTACAGTAGGCAGGATACGCCCACATTTTCGAGAGATGGATAGAGAACAAGCTAAAAAGAAAGTGATTTTTCCTACAATCAAGGGCCATAATTCAGGAAATTACAATTCGATATGCGCAAATATCGAAAGGATCCAAGATATTTGTGTTATAAACTTACATTTCAAGTTTCAACAAAATCGGATAAAAATTGTGACCTCTATAGGGTCCACAACCTTGACATACCATATTTGAGAACACACTGCAGCCATTTTGTCTGTCAATTTTGGGCCGATTTACACGAAATTCGAACTCAGGGATCCTTAGGGTGTAACGGTGATATAATAATACGGCTTTTTAAATCGGATAAAAATTATGACCTCTATAGGGTCCACAAGCTAAAAACGCGATTTTTGGTACAATCAGGGGCCATAATTCAGGAAGTTACAGTCCGATATGCGCGAATATCTCAAGGAACCGAGATCTTTGTGTTATAAACTTACATTTCAAGTTTCAACAAAATCGGATAAAAATTGTGACCTCTATAGGGTCCACAAGCTAAAAACGTGATTTTTCGTACAAACAGGGGCCATAATCCATGAAGTTTCGATCCGATTCATGCCAATATCGAAAGCAGCCAAGATCTTTTGGCGATAAACCTATATTTCAAGTTTCGTCAAAATCGGATAAGAATTGTGACCTGTAGAGTGTCCACAAACAAATTGTGGACGGACGGACATCCGGGCGGACAGGGGCGACGACAATATACGTCCACATGAAAATGTGGGCGTATAAAAAACATATCAGTTTTATATCAATCCATTTAAGAGTTAAGTTTTCATTCTTATAAATTTACCTCTTTACAGGGAGGATGACCTTTATTATCCGATGCTGGCAACTTATTATCAAGAAAGCCACAACAATCAAAATTTTTCTGCACATTGTCTCTCGTTTCATTTGATGCTTTCATCCAACCTCTCGTCACTAAATCATCCTTCTGTTGCGTGTTGACAGCTAGACAGGCACAGGCCAGTGAAAATTGCAAAAGGAATAGCAGGAACAGAATAATCATATACTTGAAATTGTTAAGAAATTTAACAAGCCAACAGTGATGTTGGTGTCCCCAGCCGAAATCTCGAAATAAATAGATGTCACATATAAATTAATTACACATTTATCTTTTTCAAAAGTATCGAGCAATTAAACTGATTATCAACTATACCGGTACACTAAGTTTTATCACTCACCATCAGTTAAAATCAAAGTTATCTTGTCCCAAAGCATCGACCAAAGAAAATGCTTAGCTCTGCTTAGCTTTAGCAGGAAATATTAATCATTGAACTCAGTCAAGACATTTACCTAATGAACATCTACATGTACATCAAGTTTAAAGTAGCTAAGTTCATAACTCAATATCATCCAAAATCCTTCGACATTGAAAACACGAATGTTTACAATTTAAATCAGTATTGGTGTTGTGGTCTTACCTGGAAAAAATGGGCTTCTGATATCCAATATTTAAGACAAAATAAACATTTTACCATTGGTACACGAATCGTGTACCATAATGCGTTTCAGCGCCATTTGTAACAAGGTGCTCAAAGAATTAGGCTAGACGTACATATTCCACAAGTCATGTCAAACAGTGATGCCATGTTCTTATTTGGAGAGCATGCGCAATATATACTATCAGTGTTGACGGGAATAACCAGACGCTAGAAACTGTCTTTCGGTTGAGACTTCTGGCGTATTCCGCCGAACATAACTGATGACAATTCACAGTAAAACGGAAATGATTGAATGTAAAACAGTTTATATAAATTCATATTACATTATTATATGTGTTGTGACCCATTTGTGCCAATTTCTATTCCCAAAATATTAGCGATTTAGCTCCTTTAAACATTCTACCTGAATTAAAAGCAGAGTTGTTTACGTTCCAAAGTTTTGACCAATCAAATTGATTATCACTCCTTAGCCTAAGCAGAAAATTCTCGGAGTCTCAACCACTCAAATTAATCTCTGCTTAGCCTTAGTGGAAAATAAGCATGATCAGACTGTCAAGGTATTCACCTAGACGGCTACACCAAGTTTGAATATTCTTCGAACTCAATCGAGGCATTCACATAATGAACGCCTACACCAAGTTGGAACATTTTACCTCAATTAGAAAAGTTTTTGTGTTCTAAAGTCTCAACCAATCAAACTGTCAATCGCTCTGCTCACCCTTATCGAGCTTAGTCACGGTATTGATGTAATGAAACTATACACAAAGTTTCATCACTCTCACTTAATTAGAACCAAAGTTATCGCATCCCAAAGCATCAACCAATCGAATTGCTTATCTCTGCTTAGCCTAAGCTGAAAATGCTTATCTTCGAACTCCATCAAAGGCATAAACACCTACACCAAGTGTGAACATTCTAGCTCAATTAGAAGCAGAGTTATTGTGTCCCAAAAAGAGTGACAGACAGACAAACGGACAGAATCATTTTAATAGTAGCCTGCTTTCTTTTAAAGGTGTGGATACATGTATGACAAACAGATGAAACTATCAATGATTTGAAAATTGGTAAAACCAAATTACATTCAATACAAAAAAGTTGTAACTGGAAAGTACTTGCTTTATTTTTACTCGAAGGTCGTGTCAGGGGTCGTAAGAGCGGCTTTTGACCATATGACGTCAGACATTGATTAATCAATCAGCGTTGATGTTTCTAGTGGTTTACCCACAGTTTCATGCATGGCACACCAAGAAGTCACCGTAACAGACCGTTTCATTTGCTTATCCCCCACTTCAACCAAAATGCCGGTAATAAAACAACTCTTCCAGATCCTAGTCTAGTAAAGACAAGTAAAACGAAATTTTGAACAATAAAAAACGAAACGAAATAGGAACTGTGTTTTAATTAGATTGGACAAATTAAAGAAAAATTGGCATGAAATTATCAAGGATACAAAAAACAGGAGAACTTGATGGTGCCTAATAGATCCAACTAGACCTATTAAAGCAATAAAGAATAAAATAACACCACATGTTATAACACTGCCAACTAATGTCAGACTTGTAACCAATGATGCCACACGACCATAGGCTGCAACACCAATCAAAATAATGGCTACAATCTGAAAAAGAGAACAGAAATACTTTAATTTGATACTTGATCTAAAATATTATTATTAATACTCAGCATGTATGAAGTACGTTTCTTTGCCAAATTCAAAGATAGTCAACCAGACTAGCCCTCAGAGTGTTCAAACAAGTCTTCAAAGTGATCAAACCCAATAGTCTTCTTTTTCTCATGAAAATACACACTTTGTATGTGAAGTTCTAACAAGAAAATAAAGAATATTATAGCAATCGATTAGATCCTTTACTATTTGGTTTTAATGCTGTAATAGTAGCTGCATCTGATGGGTCATCACAAAGCCAAGTTTCACAAAAACTACAAACATCTATCGTCAGAATTATCAAAAATATAATCTTGTACTACAGTTGTTTTATCATGGACCGTGTATATACAGTCCATGGTTTTATGTACATTTAAACATTCTCTTCAATAGGTGATTAGGCTTATAAAAGTAAAATATGAAATATCAAAAGTATAATTCTTGAGATGTTTAAGGATTGATTTTATCTACTTTTGTGTTCCACCTGCTGCCATCTTTCAAACTGTACAAACTGCAGCCTTTTACTAATAACTAATACTCTAACATCTGTCGCACATGAAATCAATACTTTTTAACTTTCTGTTGGAGTCATTGCTTTTTGACAAGAAATTGTTACCTTTTAAAGGGACAATAACACTCTTGCTGGCTTGGAAGCTCCAGAAAATAAATAATATTTCTATCTAAGTATTAGATGCTTAAGTGTCCTACCTGTTGTGTAAATTATCCATTACATCCTATTTTACTGTCCAGAGGGTTCGAAAATATTTTTAAATCGAAGTTTCATTTGAAAAGGTTTACGTTAGACGTTTCAAACCATTATGTTGAATTTTTCAAAAATTTTAAATAAGGTATGTTAAGATGAAATTTCTATCATTAATTAATTGAAATATTCTAAAATAGTACAATTTGTTGACCAGAATAAAGATTGGGACATATTATTCAGTTACAACAAGAGTGGTATTGAGCCTTTAAAATAATTCAGTAAGAGTGAAATAAACTCAACCATACCCTTCCTGGATGTTCTGGTGAAGAGAGAAGATGGAACCATTAAAATGAGTGTCTACAGGAAACCTACACAGACGGACCAGTACCTAAATTTTCATTCTAACCACCCCCTTGAAACAAACCTGCGACTGCCAGGCAGGATACGCCCACATTTTGCAAGAAATGGATAGAGAACAAGCTAAAAACAAACAGGATTTTTTGTACAATATGGGGCAATAATCCAAAAGTTATGGTCTGAAATGCGCAAATATCAAAAGGGCCTTAGATCTTTAGGATATAAAGATATCTTTTAAGTTTCATCAGAATATGATAAAAATTGAGACCTCTAGAGGGTCCACAACCTTTGTATTGCATACTTTTACACAATTTGCCATTTTGTCTGGCAGTTTCATTTCGATTTTCCCGAAATTCGAATTCAACCTTCATTATGGTAGAATGGTGAAATATTTAAACGGTTTATAAAATCGGAAAAAAAATCGAACTCAGCGGTCCTTCGGGTATAACGGTGATTTACCAAAACGTTTTTTTTAAATCGGTTAAAAATTATGATCTCTATAGGGTCCACAAGCTAAAAACGCGTTTTCGTACAATCAGGGGCCATAATTCAGGACGTTACGGTCCGGTGTGCACGAATATCGAAAGGAACCGTGATCTTTGAGTTATAAACTTACTTTTCAAGTTTCAACAAATGGGAGACAAATTGAGACCTCTATAGGGTCCACAACCTTGATATACCATATTTTTACACTATTTGAGAACGAAGGGCGGCCATTTCGTCTGTCCTTAGGGTGTAGTGGTGATATAATAATACGTTTTTTTAAATCGGATAAAAACAAGCTAAAAACATGATTTTTCGTACAATCAGGGGCCATAATTCAGGAAGTTATGATCCGATATGCGCGAATATGGAAAGAAATCAAGATCTTTGGATTATAAACATGCATTTCAAGTTTCATAATACACTAAAATCTGATTAAGAGCAACAACTCATGAAGTAATTATCAGAAAACCATTGGAATTTGTTTGGTTTTTATAAAGTTCTGCCCTATGCTAACGTTTTGTATACAAAACTTTTAATATCATGGATTTAGGTGTTCAAGCCATAAAAATTCATTGAAAATCAAAATGATAACTTTAGCCTTTAGAGCGTCACAAAGTGATCAAGGGCCATAACATCGGCAGTAATTATTTGGGAATCGCTGATAATCAATAGGCTTCTTCGTCTCATGACCTTAAATACTGCGTATAAATTTAAAGTCAATCGAATATTTACTATCAATAGGCTTCTTCGTCTCAAGACCTCAAACACTGTGTATAAATTTAAAGTCAATCGGATATTAACTTTAGCCTCTAGAGCATCCACAAGATTTTTTGAAGTGATCAAGGGCCATAACTCTGGCAGTAATTATCGGAAATCGTTGAAAATCAATAGGTTTCCTCGTCTCATGACCTTAAACACTGTGTATAAATTTAAGGTCAATCGGATATTAACTTTGGTAGGGGTGATGATTTTCCGTTTCAGAAAATAGCAAATTCCGTTTTAAGTATTTTTAATTCCGTTATTTTCCGTTTCAGAGCTGACTATATCCCATTTTTTCGAGATAAAATGTTATTTTATGAATAAATGAATAAAACATCTTAAAATGCCTTTTATTACAAAACGGATCATTTTACCAATGATAACAAATCTTGAATTGTGAGTGACTTGTAATGTTCAATGACTAGTTATTCTCTAAACCTGTTTACCGAATTAAATAACAGAAAATTACATCTTGTGAGCTCGTTTCATCTTTTTAGCAGACGAAGCCATTTTTCTCAGCTGCTAGTTGTAGTCGCGATTTATCCAGACATCTTCGTAGTTACTACCATTTCTTCGAGAATAAGGGCTGGATTCACAAGGCTACGGCATATTTGTGATGTCACGTGGTTAATGCGGATACACACGAGTCACGAGCCCGGCAGTAAAATAAGAAGTAAATGAAACGATTTTTACTTTTATGAAGTGGCAGAAGTTTTTTTTAAGACATATATATACATTACAATGTTTAATTCAAGTTCAACTACAGAGTAATTGTATACAGGGATACATGAAAGACGGGTTTTCGTTTCGAGTAAAATTATGATTCCTAAATGATGAAATGAAAGTAGCTAAATACTAAAATAGACAGTAACAAAACCACGCGATATCATTCAATATTTCTGATTTTTATGAATAAAAAGATGAAATACATCGATAACTGCAAAATTGTTTTGAGTTTGTGTTTAGTATCAGCAAATATCGGCTTTTCCGTCTTTTTCCGTGTGAGATTTCAAATTCCGTTTTGGAGTGGACAATTCCGCGATTTCCGCGTTTTTTCTGCGATCACGGAATCATCACCCCTACTTTGGCCTGTAGAGCGTCCACAAGATTTTTTGAAGTGATCAAGGGCCATAACTCTGGCAGTAATTATCGGAAATCGCTGAAAATCAATAGGCTTCTTCGTCTCATGACCTTAAACACTGTGTATAAATTTAAGGTCAATCGGATATTAACTTTGGCCTTTCGAGCGTCCACAAGATTTTTCAAAGTGATCAAGGGCCATAACTCTGACAGTAATTATCGGAAATCGCTGAAAATCAATAGGCTTCTTCGTCTCAAGACCTTAAACACTGTGTATAAATTTAAAGTCAATCAGATATTCACTTTAATCTCTAGAGCGTCCACAAGCAATTGTGGACGCCGGACCGACGGACTAACGGGGGCGACGACAATATATGACCAGATTTAAATGTGGGCGGATAAAAATCGGATCAAAATTGTGACCTCTAGAGTGTCCATAAGCTTAAAACGCGATTTTTCGTACAATTAGGGGCCATAATCTATGAAGTTATGGTCCGATACATGCCAATAAAGCTATATTTAAAGTTTCGTTGAAATCGGATAAAAATAGTGACCTATAGAGTGTCCACTAACAAATTGTGGACGGATGTCCGGACGGACAAACAGGGGCGACGACAATATACGTCCACATGAAAATGTGGGCTTTTAAAAATGGGAGATTGGTCAAGATTTGTATTGTTTTCAACATTTATTAACTGATAATCTAAATAATACATTATCAGTTAACAAACAAATAAGTTCCCAAAAGAAGATCAATTTTCAAACCTTTATAGAAAAGGTGGGGAATTGTCGCGTGATTAGTCCAACACTGTCAAAGACATTTACAGGGGCGGATCTAGGAATTTTGAAATGGGGGGGGGGGGGGGGGGCGCCTCAAGATGAGGGCACTGACCGCGGAGACGGGGCACGCCGCTGAGAGGGGATTTTTGTTTTGGGGGGGGGGGGGCATGAGTGTATACGCCGCCGATTCCACAAGATGTCTGTCTATAGTCACTCTATAGGATTAGGGCACCATCAGCTAAATAACAATAATTCGTTTGAAAGTGGAAGCATTAATTAGACCAGTCTGGTGTGTTTGAATCGATGGTTTGAGTCATTTGGGATCCCTGCAACGGGTTGGGTCTGAGAAAAGGCACTGTCAGCAGTAAAAAATGGCACTGACGAAAATTATTATCGGATGATAGGTGTCAATGAAATTAAGGATTTATATTGTAATGAACAGTTAACAACCCATCCATAGTTTTGATTATACTTTATTTATTAATCATACAATAAAGAGTTAAGTTCTCAATGGGTGGTGTGTATTTAAAATCCACAGGAAACGTGATCCAATTATTCATTTATTAAAAATCGTGTTCGTGTTTGATTCCTGAGATAAAATAGCACCCTGCCTTTCCAGACCAACAAATTAAGACATGTATCTACTCCAAGTATCACAACATTCGAAGCATTTAAATGGGTAACACTTTCATATCCGTGACAAATCAAAACCATTTCGTTGAAAACTAAGCAAAACTGCCCTGGATTGCTAAAAGTATTAGTCAACAGAATAGATATTGATAGACTTTGT